AATTCCATTCTGCTTTACATACTCTATAGACCCAAACTGTGGACCAATATCACAAACAAGTTGTTCCAGATAACCAAATCACACACAGATTTCCTCCAATTTTTAATGGCTTTTTCAACAGGTGTCATCTTCATGATGGCAAATTCAGGCCAATTCCTATGTGCATCAATCATCCTGAAAAGCATTTGCCCTTAAAAAGGTCCCGCATAGTCAATATGGATTCTCTGCCATGGCCATTCTGGCCATTCCTGTGGGTTTAGTAACATTAATTAAGGTAGGTTGTGAACTCTTGCACAAGCTGCACATATTTTCACCTTCTCTGCAATTTTGGAGTCCAGCCCTGGCCACCAAAGCCAGCTTCTGGCTACCTCCTTCATTCTGACAATGCCACAATAACTTCCAAGCCATTGATTTAACACAGGTATCCTTAGCTCTGATGGAATGATGCCTCTCATTCCCCATAGGAGTCATCCTGCTTGTATGGATAGTTCTAGCTTCCATGTGACGTAAGGCTTCACTACTGCAGTTCCTCATGTAATCTTGCCACAAAGTACCACGTCCATCACTTTTGATAGCAGAAGGTCATTTCTAGCGTACTTCTTAAATTGTCTTGTCATTCCTATTGTTCTCTATTTGTTCAAAATAGAAAATGTCTCGATAAGGACCGTTTATAGTTGACTCATTTGGCAAAGGTAATCTAGAGAGCCCACCAGCATTCCCAGGCAAGTTGGATGGCTGATAATTAATTGGTTAAGTGTGAGCCGATAGCACCTCTGCATTTGGTTACTGCTGGGGATGATATCACTTTATGAGGTCCAAGTATTGTGGTCAGCAGTCTGTGATCTGTGAGTAGGCTAAATTCCAGGCTGTATAGATATTGGTGCAATCATTTAATGCCATAAAAAGATTCCTAGAGCCTCTTTCTTTGTCGGTGCATAGATCATTTCTGCCTTGTTTGATGATCTTGATGCAAAAGCTGTTGGCTTCTCTTCACCACTGGGTAATGTGTGTGAAACAACTGCTCCCTCTCCACACAGTGATGCATTGCATGCTGGTTGCAATGGTAACCTTGAGTCAAAGTGGGTCAGGATTTCTTACTTAAATAAAGCCTCTTTGGCTTGTGTAAAGGCTGTTTCATATTGATCATCCACTTTCCAATTCTTGTCGTAATATACCGTGCAGCGGCTTGAGAACAGTTGCAAGATTTGAGAAAAAGTACCACAGTAATTTAGCAAGCCCCAAAATGATCCTAGTTCATTTACATTTTTAGGTGTTGGTGCCTCAGTTATGGCTTTTACTTGTGATGGTGACTTGGGTAGTCACTTGTGTCAATGGCATGGTCTAAATATTCAATGGAAGATTTAAAAACCACACAACAGGTATAGGGTGCATTAGCTGAGAATTGGGGAAGAAAAGGGGCTGGAATGAATGGTAAACGAATGGCCTGTTCCTCTCTCAAAACTGCCATAGGATCTTTTACAACCATTTGGGCGCTGGAAAAGAATAGCAGGACCAACACTGTAACATTTCACATTGAGATTAGCACCTCTGCTAATGAAGTGGTCAATCACTATTGCATTGGATCACTAAACTGAACGATGAGCTTAAACTCTAGTCTGGGGCTCTTGCTTGCAACTCCCTACTGAATCTCAAACACAGCTCACAGAGGCACAAGGGAACTATCCAGGAACAATTGAAACAACTGAATAACGGATCCCCCAGACAGATGAAAAAGTCCTACATAACACCTTCGCCCATTCTTTTCTTCCTGAAGCTAACCTATCGGTATTGTTCCAATTCAGTCAGCAGTGGGTCCACAAGCTGTGGCTTTCCTCACCCCAGTTCTCCTCAGGCATCGACTGTATTCTTCCCCTTTCAACTTTCACAGCATATCACTAATGCACCTGGCCCTGCCCTGCACCCAATGTGCGCCCTTCCCAACAGCAGGCACTGGATAAGAGTCTGTTGTAAGAATGGTGTCTGATTGCTCCTCTCTCCTTCCCCAGAGCAGAGTCCTGACCATGTCCAGCTAACTCACTCAGCAAAAGGCTGGGCTAGGAGTTTGCATTCCCCTTGCGTGCCCCACTGTGACAAACCAGGGCAATAAAACAATCTTCAAACGAATAGTGCAGGATAAGTTTTGTCCATGAGTGTTAAAGTCAACAATGGAAACAGGGAAATATTATACAAAAGTCATAGCCCAATGAGCATCACACATTTGCAAAGGTGGTGGCATATTAGGGGTGTCACTGGACCTAGTAATCCAGAAACCCAGGCGAATATTCTGGAGATACAAATTTGATAGTAATTCAATAAAAACATGGAATAAAAAGCTAGCCTAATGGTGACCATATATCCACTATTAACTGTTGTAAAAGACCCATCTGGTTCACTAATGCCCTTTAGGGAAGGAAATATGCCTCCTCACCTGATCTGGCCTACATGTGACTCCAGACTCACAGCAATGTGGTTGAGTCTTAACTTGGCCAGTGGACAATAAGTGCCCAATGATGCACATATCCCATGCATTATGTTTTTTTTATACTTGCCAGAGTCACACAATAAGGATTTACCCACATGGTCAAAGCTGATGCCAGTGCAGTACAGTTCTAAGGGACATCTACACAGTCACAGGTGCCAGCTTTCTGAAGAAATGTTAAACTGAGGCTTTTCTCCACTTCAAGATGGCAAAGAAACATCTGTTCATTCCTCCTCTCTAGAATTTTCTACACAGGCTGTGACAACTGTTTCAATGTCCTGTAAATTCATCACACTCTGCCAAGGGATAAACTATTCTCTTGTGCTTGTTGTCTCAAAATTCACTCCCCTCCTTCAACAAGTCAGTTGTTGGAGAAAAAGCAATGCAACCTGAAATAACTTCAGAGATTCTGGTATCTCGTCACCAAGACAAACCCTCTACTTACACAGACAGCCAATGACACTGATTCAGCTCCATCAGTGAACAAGAAGTCTGACCCTCCTGCTTATATCTGTCAGCCAGGGCTCCCTGATTAGACCAGATTAATAGCCCCAATCCCGGAACTCATACACCATGAAGTCTACCTGGCTGACCTCAGTACAATCACTACACAAGCAAATGGCATTCTCACCTTGGGAAGCATGGACTTTACACTGGGCTGCTCCAGAAAGTGAAGCAACACAAACCCATCACAAATGCAATTTTTAAAAAACATATTTTTCTAATCAACCTGTTCAGAGAAGTTATTATACACCTCTGGAGCAACTGGGACTTGAGCCTGACCCTCCTAGCACAGAGGTAGGAACATTACTCACTAGAATGTCAGCTTTAGCCCTTTCTGAGCCTCCTCTTGACCTTTAGTGGGAAATCTTTGAGAGTCTACCCACGATCCTCAATTGCATGATGGGAAGACTGACCCTCAAATTGGCTAATACAAGCAAAGTCATTGCTAGGTGAATGGTTTCTGCACAATGCAGCATCATAATCCCTATTTGGCCCCAGTGTTAGGTTCTTAATCCAATTTCAAAATCGTGCTGAGCACATTTGCTAGGAGGTTTTACAGAGACTGAGGGTTTGGGAGAAGAAACAGAGTTGGTAGCACAAGATGTGGGTCTTCAAGTCCCCCCAGCTTAGTGAAGAGAACTCACTGGCACATCTCAACCTGATCAAGTCTTATGAACCAGACCAGATCCCCTCAAGGTATGTTATAGAGAAAGCCTAGACCCTTACTTTTATATATTTTAAAATGCAAATATAAAGCACCATGTTCCAGATATGATTTGATTGGTCCATCACCAAGCTTTAAATCAATACACACTTTAATCTTACAACAAAGTTGAGATACAACTAAAAGAAGAATTGGCATGACTTTATACTATTTGAACTACTTAATAAGATAACTGATTATTTATCAACCCATCATCAACTGTTTCAAGACAACACGGTGCAAGGCTGGATGAACACAGCAGGCCAAGCAGCATCATAGGAGCAGAAAGGCTGACGTTTCGGACCTAGACCCTTCATCAGAAAAGGGGGAGGGGAAGGGGGTTCTGAAATAAATAGAGAGAGAGTGGGAGGCGGATAGAAGATGGATAGAGGAGAGGATAGGTGGAGAGGAAACAAACAGGTCGAAGACGCTGGGATGGAGCCAGTAAAGGTGAGTGTAGGTGGGGAGTTAGGGAAGGGATAGGTCAGTCCAGGGAGGACGGACAGGTCAAGGGGGCGGGATGAGGTTAGTCGGTAGGAGATGGGGGTGCGACTTGAGGTGGGAGGAGGGGATAGGTGGGAGGAAGGACAGGTTAGGGAGGCGGGGACGAGCTGGGCTGGTTTTGGGATGCGGTATGGGGAGGGGAGATTTTGAAGCTTGTGAAATCCACATTGATACCATTGGGCTGCAGGGTTCCCAAGCGGAATATGAGTTGCTGTTCCTGCAACCTTTGGGTGGCATCGTTGTGGCACTGCAGGAGGCCCACCACAATCAACTGTTTCAATATAGGCAGCATCCCATAAACACACGCCTACGCATAAAATGCAATTCAGCAAAAGAGTTATGATTCTCATGTGCTGTATTCTCTCCAGTCCAGAAGAAAGAAACACTAAAAGAAACAAACTGCCCCTTTTGATTTTTCAGAGGAAGCCTCTCAGTCTCTAGCAATACAGAACTCAAGCTCTTAGCTCGAGCAGCCAGCAGAAACCTTCTCAACTAACTGAAAGCAAAACCTAAAAGCCTTCCTGGGTCTGTGCAAGCCCTGACCCCACCCACTCTTTTGTACCACTTTAAAAAGAAACACCCAGGGGGAACTCAAAGTTGTTTATCCACCACCAGTCTGGAGGAGACATTTCGATACCTACATCTGCAAAAGGCACAGGACAGAATACATCTCTTAAAGGCACAGGACCTGTCACACAAGTCACAGTGTGTGACAGGATTCAGAGAAAGCCACAGAACTAAAAAGGAATGGAAACAGAGCTGGGTACAATGGACATATGATCATTCCTCTTCCCCGTCCCCTTTACTGACCTAGATAGACAGATTGTGGTTTGGTGTGTACTCCGACTCCAGCACCATTGATTGCTGCGATCTGCACACGGTACTCAATCCCAGAATTCAGCGCGGGTATCTCCAGGCGGTGTGTACTGCCATCTACTGTCCAATTTCTGTGATGTTGAGTCTCATTCCCAAAACACCAAACCTGTCAAATGAAAGCGTAGAAGAGGAAACAGAGCACTTTATATCATTTAGACACATACTTTAAGCCTGTAAAACAAGGCACAAGTTTTGGTTTTCGTTGCTCCTCCAAAGATTTTTTTAATGTTTGCTTTCTGATTTTCAGAGCCCTTTTTCCATTTTCACTAATTCGTTTATGAGGTCACATTACCTTCTGCATTTACATGGTCTTATGTGGTACTTAGACTCTTAAAGAAGCAGAGTTAGAAGAATACATCAATATATTGAACAATTATCAACCCGCCATTACATTTAAAGCTACAACACATGAAAATCATTAATTTTCTGGACTCTTTTAAATTTGGCATAACATAACAGACATAAGTTAGCAATAAAGTTTATAAAAATAAACTCACACACACCTTGACACACAAAAAGCCATCACCCTGGATACACCTTCCAGATTGAGGGGGTCACAACTAATGCATTTCTATTGCAAATTCACGAAGCTAGAATGTTCTAACCAGGCAATACCACCATTTTTACTATATCTCAGACTCAGTTTAACAACCGACACAGTGTCCACTTTAATAGCATCAACTAAACTTCTTCCTCCTGAATGTATGCAGACTTAGTGTAGAAATTCCACCTTCATTTGCAGGTAATTCATTACCTCAATGATTTCGGGTGTTCCTAGCTCCCACTCAGCTGGGGATTCCTTTGTTGACAGGTTTGAAAACAGCTCTGTCTTCTTTGCAGCTTCCACCTCACCTGCAGCCTTCCCCCTCTCTCCCATACATCTTGTAGCCTCCCTCTGACTCCAGCCACCAATCCTGCAAATATCCCTATTTCCCTGACCACCTTTGCAGCAACCTCCAGCTCATTTCCAATCTTGCTTTGGTAAAAGAGTGGCTCCCAATCTCAGCCGAAAAGTGGCTGGACCTCGCACTCCCAGCAGATAGTTGTCAAGTGAGTCTTGGCTAACTGTTCGGAGCAGTATGGTAGCACAGTGGTTGGCACTGCTGCCTTATAGCACCAGGGACCCACGTTTAATTCCAGCCTTGGGTGACATAAGCTTTTCAGTAAAATGCATTGAAAATATTTTTAAAAAGTCAAGTCTTTCCACTTACCTCCTGCTTGCCAACTATTCCATTATCAATTTCTCTGCGCACTACCTCTCCCAAGCTGCTTCCCTCTCTGAAGAGACGGGGGGATGTGAGCGAGGGAGTGTCAGGAACTGAGGGTGGGAGGGTAGGGAAGTGAAGCAGTGGGTGGGAGGGTCAGACAACAGGAAAAGGTCAAGGCACAATAGGGTCATGGAGCAGGAGAGTGGGGGGGAAAGGTTGCGAGCACTCCAAAGTGGCACCAATCAGGTCACAGGCATTGCATCAGGCCTAGTGTGAAGCCATAAGACTGTAAGGCATTGGAGACAAGCAGGCCATTCAGCCCATTGAGTTGGGTCTGCCATTCAATGGCTGACTTGATAATTCCCAACACCACTCATCTGCTTTTTCTCCATAACCCTTGATTCTATTACTGATTAAAAATCTGTCAACATCAGCCTTGAATATATTTAGCAACCCAACCTCTACAGCCTCTAAATTCATTACCCTCTGCAAGAAGAAATTCCCCCTCATCTCTGTTTTAAGTGGGTGACCCTTGCTCTGAGATTATACCCTCTGATCCTAGAATTCTCCACAATGTCAAACAACCTCTCAGTATCTAGAACAAAAACAGAAGTTGCTGGAAAAGCTCAGCAGGTCTGGCAGTATCTATGAAGAAAGAACTCAGAGTTAATATTTCGGGTCTGCTGACCTGACCTCTGTCCTGAGGAAGGGTCACCGGATCCAAAACGTTAACTCTTATTTTTTCTTCACAGATGCTGCCAGACCTGCTGAGCTTCTTCAGCAACTTCTGTTTTTGTTCCTGATTTACAGCATCCGCAGTTCTTTTGGTTTTCTCAGTATCTAGCCTGTCAGGCCCCTTAGGAATCCGATAGCATCTGATTACTTTTCATTCTTCTAAACTCCAATGAGTGCAGCTTAACACACTCAACCTCTCCTCAATAATGCGAAAGTGAAAGCTAAATGTTCTCCAATGATGACCTTCAAGATGGCGGCGTTTGGGTTCCTGAGCCCGTCTGCCCCAGGCCTGCCGCATCTCTCCTTTCTCATCTTTTTCTTTCTCTTTTTTCCTTTCTTCATCGTCGGATGCCGTGGGAAAGCCAGAGCAGTGTTCAGCGGGTTGTTGGCTGCAGCAGTGGTGATGCCCAGAGTGAGAACTCCTGGCTGTGGTGGGCCTGAGGTGTGGGGTCTCCTTGTGGCCTGCGATACCTTGCAGAAGCTCTGGAGCTGTGTTTGAAGACCCCTTGTGCAGAAGATGAACTCTATTTATACAATTTCTTTTATTCTTTTGGAACTCAAAATAGCACTGGATTGCGGCAACAGAACACCTTTCGTTGTATCTTTCTAGACATATGTGACAATAAATAACTCACGTTAGTCCCACTTTATCCACAATGTCAAATTGGAATGACGTCTATTGAGGCAACTTAAAATGGGGGTTTTATTGTATGCAGGGAAACGCCTAGTTACCTAACCTGATAAATGAGTATATCAGGCAAGTCAGAGAGTTACAAAAACAGAAGTTGCTGGAAAAGCTCAGCAGGTCTGGCAGCATCTGTGAAGAAAAAAAATCAGAGTTAACATTTCAGGTCCGGTGACCCTCAGAATTTTGTTCCTGATTTACAGCATCCGCAGTTCTTTTGGTTTTTATTAAGTCAGAGAGTTACCCAGTTATAGACTTAGCAGCCCCTTCCCTGGAAGTTGTCACCCAATACTCCAACCCTGACATTGTCAGTGTGCCATGAGTATGTCACCTGGCAGACCAATACTTCAAATTAATGTGTTGACCTTCTACTACGTACGAAGGGATAGTTTGGGTATGGCAGACTGCTCATCTGATTACTTTTCTCCATCTGACCCAGTCACAGAAATGGAGAGGAAAGTGAAGCATTTACAAATCAGCATTGTTATTTACTTAGGGTACACATCAAACAGGAGTAACATGGCCACTAATTAAACATTAAAATATTGCTGTTTTACTATAAACAACTTTCAAATTTCCTTCATAGTTACCACAAGCTTTTGTGGATATTTGAAGTGAAATGGTATTGAAAAGATTAATTCAATTTTGTAGGATAACAAGGTGAAGAGCTGGATGAACACAGCAGGCCAGGCAGCATCAGAGGAGCAGGAAAGCTGATGATTTGGGTCAGGACCCTTCTTCAGGGTCCAGACCCGAAACGTCAGCTTTCCTGCTCCTCTGATGCTGCTTGGCCTGCTGTGTTCATCCAGCTCCACATCTTGTTATCTCCAGCATCGACAGTTCTTACTATCTCTTCAATGTTTTGGGCTTAGTTTTCTCCTCATTTCGTGGCCTTGTGCCCAAGTCTCTTGTGATCATTTACTGTAAACAAAAGCCTAATGGGAGATAAGCAGCAATTCTGGGATATAGAATCAGGGCAAGAGTGGGAAGATGTAGGAAAGGGTGGGAATCTGCCTGGGAAACAAATTTAGGAGACATCATTTCTGTCAACTGTAACTTCCAACTCACACCCACAACACCACTGTACAACTACTCAGCACTCAGACTATCAGTACCACCCCACTACCCCCACTTTGGCCTGAATTGTAACATCGCTGCACGTATAAAATAAAAGTTATCTTTCTAAGTTTAAAATCTGCATTCACTTTGTTTATAAAATCCAGCTTTGAAGCCTTGGGACTCAAGACATAAATGGAACACAATGGGAGGAATCTTAGGAATTTATGCAGTTGGTGGGGAGCCAACTGAGAGATTTTTGGCTGCAATTTTGTTATAGTCAAAACAATTGTGTGCAGAATGCGGCTAAATTTCTGAGAAGCATGTCTGGGAGTTAGATTTCTTGTCAAAACAACCACCAACTAGGCCAAGAGTCTCAGTTGCTCACAGTAACAATAACTTTTCAGGTCATTGGGACATAAAAGGCCTTAGTTCTTTCAAGTAAAGGGGGCAGGCTTGGATTTTAAGATCTTGCAATAATGCTGCTAGCCAGTAACAGTGTACATCTGCTTCAAACCCTCCACCTCTGGGATCATCTTCTGGGAGACCAGATGGGACCCTCAGGGTGGCTGTTTCCACATTCTCCTGGATGCAATGGTGGTCTACTTTGCTGTCTGGATGTGATGTCCCAATCACATTCAAAAGGGGGTGAGGTGTGTGATTAGAGCCCAAACTGCAAGACTGATGGCATAACTTTAAGAGGCAATATTTTATTGAAGTGGAGAAATGGTTCAAATGGGACAACTTCATTTTGAAATGCCCCCTCTCTCATTTACTACAGAGAGTTGTGAAAACAGCCCAGTCCATCATGCAAACCAGCCTCCATCCATTGACTCCATTTATACTTCCCGCTGCCTCGGGAAAGCAACTAACATCATCAAAGACCCCTCCCATCCCGGCTATACTCTCTTCCACCTTCTTCTGTCGGGCAGAAGATATAAAAGTTTGAATACACATATGAACAGGTTTAAGAACAGCTTCTTCCCCACTGTTATCAGACTTTTGAACAGACATCTCAAATGCTGATCTGTCTGTCTGCACCATCTCTGTGGCTGTGACACTGCATTCTGTAGCTCTGTTCTGCTACCCTGATGCACTTTATATGGTACCTTCCACCTGTCTAGCACACAAAACAACACTTTTCACTGTAACTCGTACATGTGACAACAATAAATCAATCAATCAATAGTTCCCACAGCATGTCACTGCTGTTTCCAAACTGTGAAGTCTCTGATTGGCCTTCCAGCCTTGGGAGCCCACTCATCGTGTTAACTCAATGACAAGCCACCCTCTGGCTATTCCAGAAATTACCACAATGAGTGATTGTTTCCCTACATACCCTCAATTCAGCCCGACCACGGGGTACCAATGGGGAAATCCAACCCAGAGTTTTCTAGCTCATTTCAGTCAAAGCAGGGAGTA